ATAATCAAGAAAATATAATTAAATGAGGTACCATATTTAATCTAGTGAACAGACCAAACATTATATTTTCTTCTAACCTAGCTAACAGGTGGACAGATATTGGAATAGATGTATAGTTAATCTGGTTCTCTACATATACAAGAATAAGTATATATTGTATAGGTGCATTAAGTTAAAATAGTAGATTGTGTTGAACTTGATGAATTGGATTGTTGTTTAAGGCTAGAGGTTTCAGATAGTGTAGAAAGACTTGAAATATTAGAATATAGATAGTTAAGTTTGTTGAGCTTTTTTTAGTTAGAAAAGTTAGAACAATAGGGTTTCTATAATTGTTTATTTATTTTAAGTAATATATTAATTACTGCTTTAGAAGAGTTTTGTAAAGAATGCTATAGTTTTGAATTGTTTTAATTAAAGATATAGAAATTAGACCTTTGAGTGTAATATCTAGATAATGTGAATATGGTTAGAAAGCAAATAAGTGAAATGCTTCATAGTTGTGAATTTTGTAGATAGTTTCTAAGCTGGTTATTTGAAAGATTAGTTCTGCTGATTTGAGATACTGTGTAGTAGTATTAGTAATAATACGATAGATTAATTCAGAGTTTTGGCTGCTATACCAATGTAGAGGTGAGTTTGGTAAGTTGCAGTAGAAGCAGTTATTATTTAGAAAGATTCTAGGATATTATGAATGATGGAGATGGTGAGTTGACAATTTATTGAGTAGAATTTTAATTTTGAAGAATTTAAGTTGATTAAACTTAAAGTTTGTAATATTAGAAGTAGGTTTTTAGTTGTAATTAAAGTATAGTTAGATGGCTCTTCAATCAATTTGGTGATTAAGTAAAGACCATTCATTATTCTGATTTTGTGATAACTACATTGCTAGGACTTGGGCTTTACATATCTTTCTAACAAATAAATGAGTAAGAAGCTTAATAAAATAATGCTCACTTTTCTACTGAAGTGTATGATAAGGGTTATAGATATTGGTATAGTTAAAAAGAAGTGGTGTATCAAGTATATGTTGTTTAGCTAGTGAATTTGCTAAATTATTAAAGATATTGTCTGAGTGAGCTAAGACTTTAATAAACACAATTTCCAATTTATATAAAGAGATAATATTAAGAAGTGTATACCATAAAGAACAGATATTAAATTTAAGGAGTTTGTTAGAGTTGATAAAAAGTGACTTAAGTTTGGTGTATTTAGATATGATTGATTGAGAGTCTATATAAATATTAATTATAGAGTTATAAGGTGTTGTAGAGATGGCAGAAATAATAAACAGAAGCTCAGCTTTGTAAAAAGATGGCCAAAGATGAATTTGAGCTGAAAATTTGTTGCAATTTGGTTATTATCATCTACTTGAACCTATTTTATCCTTATGAAATATTGTCCTGTGCCAATTTTGATTACTAAACCATTAGTATAGAAATTAAATTGTCTTTGAGTTGAGTTATAATTGAAGATTTCTTCCAATTTAGCTGTTTTTTGATTTGTAATAAAAATTGAAGAAATTGTGGAGTTACTAATAGGAATAAAAGGAGAAGAAAGTAGTTGAAAATCTGAAGGTAAAAATTTAATTGCAGTAGAAAAAATAAGATTTAAATAGTTAAAGTTTCTTTTAAGGTTTTTTTTAGAGAGTCTGTCAAAGAACTGAGCAGAAGTGATTTTAGATATATCAATTGTGCATGCAGATTTTAGTCTATTTGAATTAAGGTGATATCCAGTACAAGGATAGTAATTAATTGCTTTAAGTGAGTAGCAACTAGTAATATTTGTATCAATATTGGCTTGCCAATGTGTAATTGAACATTGATTTAATTTTAGTATAAAGATACGAATTTTGTCTAAAATGATTTTATTATTATTAAAAGTAATTATTTTAGTTTAAATTTTTTAGGAATATTATATATATTATATGCAAATAGATTCATTCCTTGTTGTTGGTAATGTGAAATAGATGTGGCTATATTTATCTTCAATAACTATATCTTCAAGTATATTAAACCATAAAGTTTTTTTATCATTTGGTAAAATTCGTAGTTTTGGTAAAAAGTGTTGTCATTCTAAAAAGCAGGTATTATCAAAAGTATAAAGTTGTTAAAGATAAAGTATTTGTAGATTTCTAAGTTGTTTCTTAAAGGTTGTAAAATTAGAATAGTTATGAGGAATTTTTTCTAATAATTAAAAATTATATAAAATTGTATTGAGCTATAAAGCATTAGAATTTGCTGTAATAGAAATTTCAAAATATAAAAGTAGTTGAATAGTCTTAAAATTTAATGTATATCTGTTAGCATCATTAACAATCAGTTGAGATTGTTGTAGTATATTAGTTAACCAAATATTATTTTATAATTGTTGAAGTCTTATTTGTATAGTAATTCCTAAGAGATTAGGATTATTAATATATTGTAAAAGTAGGTAATATAGTATTAGAATTGGATATCTTAAATATTGCAGATATTATAAAGGAATGGATTAAACATAGTATTGTTCGAAATAGATCTTGATAAATGTAATTTATATCTAAAATAAAATTTAAATTTTTTAAAATATATATATAAAATACTAATTAAATTTAATAATATATATCTAACAATTTATAATAAATTAGGATCTAAAATTTATTAATAAGAACTTTAATACTAATTTAAATAATATATTAAAAATATTACTAAATATTACAATTTATTAATATCTAAAAGAAGTATATTTAATATAATATAGTTTACTAAAAGTATAATTTTTTAAATATAACTAATTTACACATTACATCTGATTCTACAAATTTATTAGCTAATTATATATCAGTGATGATTACTACTAGTTATAGTTAGTAAAATTCATAAAAATATAAATTAACTAGAGTAAATATAACAAAATATACATAAAATATATAGAATAGATAATTAAAAGTAATTATATAAAAGCTATAATATAAAATAAATTCTAAAATTAGCTCTAAACTAAAATATTAAATAATATAGCAAGAGTATGATAACTTAGAGAAGTGGTTAAGTTGTCACCCCCAAGCAGCAAGTCTAGAGTTCGAATTCCATTAGAGACATTTTTAGAAAATAGGTCTGTATACTAGTAACAATTATTTGATAATCGATTGGGTATATCATCTGTAGCCTTGGTACTACCATTTCAAAATGAAAGTTTTTAAGCAATCCAAATCTAAAAAACCAAAATAATTGAAACCTATTTGGCAAGATCTGAGCAAGGAGGTAGTGAAGATCTTTAACAATACTGTGGATGCTAGAACTTGAGATTAAAGAACTGAATGTATACCCTGGAGCAAGAAGGAATCACTAACCTGGTTACTGACATCGCACTGGAGAAAAAGATCCTATGCTATAGAATTAGAAACTAAGAGAAGTAAAACTGGAAGATACCTAAAGCTGAGATACAACAACCCATTTGGGTTAACTAGTTTGATAGTTTGGGAAGGATCAGTTAAAGAACTAGTTGATGTAATTATCAGAATCAAAACAAATCTTATAAAGGTATAAATGCCAGAATTGTACAGTTTAATAGTTTGCCCTAACTGCTAGTAGTAGTTTCTGCTACTACAGAAGGTATTCAAAGCCTAATCTGAAAATGTATGAGACATAGAAAGATTAAGAGGTATATACTACACCCTCCCTAAGGCAACCCAGTAGTATGAGAACTCACTGGATTATCTATAGAATAGGACACAAGTAATATAGCAGATGTTAATCTGGGTGGTTCTCAATAAGAAGCAGCACAGGGTTATATGCTGGCATGATTGTAGTAGGTGGTACAGGACAGGAGACATCAGAAAGTTTAAATGGGTAATCTCCTAGTTGGGTTACAGGTATACATATAGTGTAGAACCTTCGGGTGGACTACTTAAATAGGCGACCAAAAGTCACACACGTGGCTAAATGTACTCTCATTAACCAAGAATGACTATCTAAAATACCTAATAAAAATCTGCCTTCACATGACATTGCGAAGGTTAAAAAAAAATAGTATAGCAATCTATATTTGGATACTTAAAGAAACAATTAAATAAAATTAAAACTATAATGAATTAAAAGGTATAGCAATATATACAATATAAAAAAATTAATAAAATTAAATAGTATAATTACCAATTTAAAAAAATTAATAAAGTTATTATTGAAATTATTAATCTTGAAATTACTATCTTTAGATTATTATTTTTTAAATTATTGTTTTGAAGATATTTTTGAAATTATTCATCTTTAAAGTAGTATTCTTAAAACTATTATTTTGAACTATTATTTTTGAAATTATCATTCTTAAAGTAAGTATATTTATATCTACAACCAATGTGAAAATAATTGTCGCGACTGATGCTGAAATCTAGGGCATCCATATATACTCTTTAATTATCACCCTATAACCCAACGCTAAAAAAAATGCGAAAAAAAACACCCCAAAAGAATTTTAAAATTTCATAACAAAATAGGTCCAAATTTCAGCTGCGACAATAATTAATACTGTTTATAAAAATCCAAAAAAAAATCGCATCTCTAGTCACACATTTTGATTTGTAAAACATTAGCAACAACTTTGATTTAAGGAGCAATATGGGAGACTGAGATTTTAAGCGAAAAATTTAAAATATATTTGCAGTTTTGTGAAAATCAAGATAAAATTTTGGCTTAAACCAAATGGTCGGTTTGTAAAAATAAAAATTTTATTTTTTAGATCATATAAAATTTAAATAACGAAACTTTATATAAAATAATGTTACTAACTTAATACAAAAAAAAAGAACATACTCAATATACAGTCAGACCTCCCTAGATGCAACCTACTAAATGCAACACCTCTCTAAATGTAACCTTTAGCTTTTGCCTAAATATATACTAAACCCATAAATGCAATTCTCTCTTATTGTTCTCTAAATGTAAGCACTCAAACGTTTGGTCCCTATGAGTTGAACTTAGAGAGGTTTGACTGTCTAGGAATTTTTCAGATATAAACCATTCTATTTAACTCCATTTACCTAATTTCTTTAATAGAGCAATTGCTCTATCATTATTGGAATTGGCAGCTAATCTTAAATAATTTACCCCACGCTCTTCATCTTTTTTCACTTTAAGTTTTCCACCCACATAAATATCTCCCAAATAATACATTGCATCAACATTTTGATTATAAGCCGCTAATTCAAAATAATTTAGAATTTCCTTACGTAATTCATCTTTCCTAGTTTCATTACTCTCTTTACTAAGGTCACCAAACAATGCAACTGCATATCTACATTGTGATTCTGCATGATTATTTTCATCGGCAGCTTCTTTGAAATACTTCTTGGCCTGAATTGGATCTTTTTCTGCATGATACCCATAAAGCGAGTAATACCCTAGCCAGAATTTTGCTGTTGCGTTATTAATTTCAGCATTTTGTTTGAAGCATTCCCATGCACTCTTATATTCTTTTTTTTGATGTTTCTCTATACCAACATCAAGAGGTACAACAGTTGCAAAAGGTACAACGGCAACTTCTTCGGGAACTTCATCCTCAATCTCAATAATCTCTTCAAATACTGGCAAAGGCTCAGTCTTTTGCCCATCAAGATCTAAAGCTTTATTATCAAAAAGTTGTGGAGTATCAAATGAAATTGGGTATTTTTTTGCTAATTCATCAAGTTTCGGCTTTAGTGCAGGAATAGTTATTCGTAATTCTGGTTTATGACACCATGCTTTTTTATCAATTTAAGTAAACCAAAAGTAAATTAAAAAATAAATGTAACCAAATGAAAATATAAATAGAATTTAAAGGAAAATTTTGATAAAATTACCATCTTGAATGATTTTAATAAATTCTAATTGAATCTCTCTATCAGCAGGATTTTTAAAATTTCCCTTTGAAATCTTTTCTCGTTTACCACTCAAAACATGATCAGATAATTTTCTCATATCCCAATCAGCATAAGGCAACTTTTCATAACAAAGTTCCCATAAGAGCATTCCAAAACTAATCGTAAAGGATGATTAGAGACGATAGAAAAAATACAGTAAACACAACCTAGATATCTATAAAATTACCTAAATATTTCACAATTAAATGTATATACTTTTTCATTGTTAATG